AAGTTATTAGTAACATGTCAAATTTATACTTACATTGTCCAAAAGCCTGAATGACAGAGAAGGACCCTGAAATGCCAAGCATAATGGGAACACTTGAGAAAATTTTCCCCACCTGTTGGATTCACTTGGCCATTCAATGCTTCCACCAACTTCTAGAAGGACAACCTGCTTTCTCTCTGTACCCACTTTCACATCTCTCAAAATAAACCCAAAGGCATTTCACAAACACCTCCTAGACTAAAATCTCAGGAGAAAACAAGTTCACCTGGAGTCACCTCCCTTATGTCCCAGTGACCCTTTATGTGAGGTAGAGGTACCCAGAGGACCCATGAAAGCAAAACCAGAATATGCATCCAGCACCAAGTGACAATCCAAGAATTCCAAACATGAAAGCTGCCATGCACAGTTCTGCTTCTACATCATGTGTAGTTTATTTTATAGGGAGAACAGTTATTAAGAACATTTTTTGTATCAGTAAGGTCTGATTTAGTACTTGTACTCAATAGTCATGACAATTTTGTCAGACTGCATTAAAGAATTTAATCTCAAAATTCCCAAGTGGAAGAGAAAGAGCTATCAAATGTCTTCAGAGAAGGAAACCAAGATGCATGATTTAGGAGACAGCAATAAAATAAAGAGTTTGGTATTCAGGAAAGAAATAACTACTCTTACAGATAAAAACTTTCATGGTGTCAATGGACAAGCCAATCTTGATTAAAACCAGAATCTGATTATTGAAGTTTTCTCTCTACTTCATAATGTAATCACTAGAGTAACACTGCTGCATAAATTCAATTTCAGCAAAATAAAATTACTGAGATTGTATATGCAACCCACATAAGCATATATAATTTTATAAAAAAGGACCAAGAAATAGATTACATTCCACTTTTACAAGTAATATGTCTCATCTTCAAATTCAATATAAAACTGTTCACTGCATTCCAAAAATTAATGAAAAAAATCACCATTCTATTCAATTTGTTCAGTGTAAACTATCATAAAATATTTCATCCTTCATTGCCTCTTCTTGCTTATATGGGAACATAATGAAGACTGACACATATTGCTTCTAGGTCTCACTTTGTAACTAGGAGCTTAATAAAACCCCCTTGGTGAACCAGATCCAGCTTTTGATTTCGAGTTAGACATATAAACATGCTAACAGTCCTGCGAGGTTGTATTTACAGTTCTCAGGAAATGAAACACTCAAGGCATGAAATGTACATAAACACTCAAGCATCATGTGACAAATTGTAGCTAATTTTAATCATGTAAACAACAAGGGTCCATCCAATAGCACACTTAAGTAATTTCCCATTTAATTTCAGTCTTATTAAATCTCTAAAGATAATTAGAATTTAAACAAGGACTCTCTAATCCTATTGCTAAAGAAAATACACCAAATAAGACACATAGCTCCATGGCACCCTCTGTCTTTTCACCTTTCTTCACAAAGAAACCAACCAAGACAACACCTCTAATCCTACACATAGAAAACAGTTTTCAAACCCACCCAAAATGGCACATACTCAAAAGTGACATATAATTGCTGAATTTCATCATGCACCCACCCCAGAACAGGAGTAAGAAATGTGAGAGATGCCACCACTGTCCTTACACAGCACCCAGCCAAGGAACATGGAAAACCCTGGGGGTGCTCAAAGGCTGGCACAATTCAGCCAGAGCAAGTTGGGAGGCAGGAACAGGAACAGAGCTCATTCCCCAGAGAACTTTCAGCTGTGATATGTGAACCTCACTATGCATCTGAAAACAAATGTATATTTGAGGACAAGAGCTTAGCAAAACCACAAAGTAGCTTTCAGTTTACAGAGACATGGGCTAAATCCAGACTTCCTCCATCACCTCAAAGACCCTTTAAAACAGTGTGGAAAATCCCTTCAAAAATGTCTTCTTTGAGTCTGCTCAGATCTTCAAGTAAAAAGGCTTCTTTGTGAAGCCTTGTGAAGACCATCACTACCTTCCTGATGAAAAATCATCTTCAGCTTCATAAAAAACATGATATCCCTACAGATCCATAGCAACATGGTCTTAAGTCAACCAAGACTTTTTGTCATGCTGCTTCTGGCACCGAGACCCTTCTGGGTCATCCTCTGGGGAGGCATACAGTTGCCAGAATTATTCCTCGGGGAGCCAGAAGTGACAGCATCTCTACACCTTTCACAGTCCAGGTATTCCTGCCATTCCCCAATTGCCCAGCTTGGGCTGGCTGCAACCAGGCCTTCAGAGTGAATCCAGGGGATACCTTCAGTAGGCCACAGGGAAAAAGTTCACAAAGGCCAGTAAACCTTTTGAGGTTAGAAAAACCAAAAAAAATTGTAATTCCTCCCTCCTAGAACCCTTCTGTACAGAACTGAAGAAAAGAGTTTATTTAGCACACCTCTCACTAAAAATAACCACTGCTGTTGTCTCTTCTCAGAGGGCCCCACACTTCTCTGAAAAGCTGTAATGGAAGTGGCTCACGGAATCCAAGACATGCTTCTTGTAACTATTAGTATGCTATTCATGAATATTTATTCTTTCAACTTCCAATTAGTTAAGAAGCAAAAAAAAAAAAACAGAAGAAAAGTGACCAAACCAGTACTGAAACTGGAGCAGGTGCACAAAATGCACAACAGAAGTCTGGTACGGATACAGATTTATGCTGTGAACTATGTGCTGTGAATGAACAACTAAAAACCAAAAAGACCAATTCTTCTGAACTTCTTCTGAAGCATCAAAACAGAAAATCCGATTAAGTGACAGCAGGCAGATACTTATCAGTTCGATTTACCTCTGACTGTGAAGTATAGGACTACCTAACAGCACAATCTCCTCTTAGATTCTGACATGCCTCATCTACAGTGTCATACTTCTGATACTTGCCAAGTTTTACATGTTGACACTTCACAAATACATTTTTTCCTGACAGCTCCTTTACTAGCCAACTCCAGTGACAAATGATTCAAGTCAAAGAGTAAATGGTGTAGTTTCTCCAGAGTAAATCTGGTGTAACAGCAAGCAAGTGAAATACGAGCCTTGCAAGATCAGATTCAACCAACTTTACAGCTTCAAAGCAAAAGTCAAGATCCTCCTGGAACACAGGTACTCCAAAGAGCAGTGGAGTAAACTCCTCCCCAGAGCATGCCTCCAGTGAAGTGTGCCCCATGGCTGACTGGGGGCTCAGCAGCTCTCCTGTCTGCTCCATGATGAACCAAGTGACAGGACTCCACCATCACTTCCAAAGTGAACAGCACCACATTCTCTGTGGGAATCACCCAGACTCAGCAAACAGCAAGAAACAGTATCAGAAAACATTCAGTGCCCTCACAAAACCTGCTGATCTGGAAAGAACTTGCTCCAGTGCCCACATGTACTCCTTACGCACACAGCCAAATGAGTTGAGATGCCCTGTTCAGGTTACCTACCAACATTCTCTCAATAAGGACAGCAGCAAACCAAGAGTAAAGGGGTTGCTCATATCTGCACCTCCAATGAACATGAGAATTAAAAATAAAAAAAAACCAACAAACACACAAAAGAACCCTCCAAAGCAATCAGTTAGGGAAATGAGAAAAACACCTGTATACATATTCTCATCAAAACAACCTACACATGAAACCAAGAAATCCCACAACTACACTACTAATCATAATATAAAAGCACAAAATACTAAAGTTTCTTTTCCCATGAATTGCTTCCAAACTTTTACAGTATTATTTTGCATTGCTCAGGATCAACTTCATAGAAAATGTAGAAATAAAAATACAGACTCAGCTCTCTAAGCATAGGTTCACATTTACTTTTATTTCCTTCATGCCATGAGCAGTCTTCACTGTAGAAACCAAACTAACTTGCTTTAATTTTAAGATCATTAACAACATTATTATGTATCAATTGAGACAGATATTGCCAGCTCAAGTCTAAACTGCTTGAGAGAAGACTGGATGAACAGCCACCATGGACTCATTTCCAGAATGTACTTTCAGCCCAGTAAATTTTATTCCCCCAATGCCTCTTCAATTTTAGGAAAAGTAATTACAGTTTTGAAACAGGCCTTCTCAAATACAACTTTTCTCCCTGCCTGCTTTCACTTTCCCTTCCTCTTCCCCTTCCTTTCCCACAAATGAGCTATTAATTCCTAAATAAATGGAATACATAGCACTTAGGATCAGGAGCCACAAGGGTCCACTGGTACTATCTCCTGTTTAGAGGTCTGTTTAAACAGGAATTAAAAGAAATCCCTTCAGTGGATTTAGGCCCAAAAACTGAAATCTGCAAACACCTCAGTGGAATGGTCCCCTGGGTGACCACAGAGGAACCACACAGACCCTGGAGAAGTTCTCCAGAGACAAACACCATTTTGGTAAGTTTGCTACTGAGATGCAATGGTCTGAACACAAATTAGGAAACTCTTCCTTGTACTCCTCTTTGAAACACCAAAGCGCAACTTCTCTGTGTTCTCTGTCTTTGTATCTCCCTAGCACAATGGAAAGAAAAACACCAACTTCATGTCCAGCCTGCTTTTAAAAATGAAGAACTTCTTTCAAGATGCAATGGCCACCCTGAGCAATGGCACTACTTGATCAAAACATCAACTCGTGTTTGTTTGACAGCTGGTAACCAGAAATCACCACCAGGTCAAACAGCTGGATGGCAATGCCGGACTGGAGCAGCTCCTCCAGACCCACACCTCCCATGCGACGTCAGATGCCCTAATTCCGCTTAGTATCTTCCTTGTGAATGGACTTTGATGAGTCTTCGTTTGGGCAGAGTACTGAAAACAGCAGTCATGATGCCTTTTAGGTATTAGTCAACCCTTTTTAAGGCCGAGGCCATTGGGCCCGAGTGTTCCCGGTCTGGCAGCGTCCCCTTCACCGGCCACGGGACCGCGGCGCCGGGGGACACGGCCACGGCGTCCCCGCCTGGCCCGGGGAAAGCCACAGGAGCGGGTCGGGGAGTCCCGAACCCCCGGCCCCGCCGCCCCCGGCCCCGCTCACCCTTCTTGTCCATGAGCCACATGAAGAAGAAGCAGGGCGCGAAGCCGATGGGCCCCCAGAAGACGAGCAGGGCGATGTCCCAGCCACTGAAGCCGAAGGCCAGGCGGGCCGAGTTCTGGATAGGGCCCCAGGTGTTCCACACCAGGCCCTGCGCGAAGCCCAGCAGCGAGAACAGCAGCAGCACCAGCCACCGCCGCCCGTACACGCGGCCCGACAGCGGCGGCAGCCGCCCCGCCGGGACCCCCGCCGGGACCCCCGCCGGCCCCCGCGGCTGCGGCCGCGGCTGCTGCGGCGGCGGCGGCAGGAGGGGCCGCCGCTCCTCCGCGCTGCTCCAGCCCAAGCCCATCTGCGGGGGCGCTGCCGGGGGCCCGCAGGGGAGGAGGGGACGGGGCCGGGGGAAGGGACACCCACACTTCAGCCCCCGAGCGCGGCAGCGCTGCCCCGGCCCGGCGCTGCCGCATGCGCGGTCGGGCAGGGCCGGCGGCCGCCTCCTTCCTCCGCCGGCGAGGGGAGGAGGGAACCGGCGCCGCGGAGGAGAGCCGGGCCCGCCGCCCGCGGGGAGGGAGCCGCGCCGCCGGGCAGTGGGGGCGTGCGGGACGGGGAAGGCACCGGGCCGCGCCCCGCGGGGAGCGGGGGAGAGGAGCCCGGGGCAGGAGCGCGGCTGCCCGCGGGCGCGGCCACCCGGGTGTCACCGGCTGGGCCGGGGAGCTCCGGCCGTCACGCCGCCACCGGCTCCGCCCCGCCGCGGCTCCCGGGCCGCGCTGCCCCTTCCGCCGCCGAAGGCGGTGCCGAGCGAGGCCCGCCCGAGCCGCCCCGCAGGCAGAGCCACCGGAGCATGGCCGGGGCGCAGAGCTGCCGTCCCCCCGCGCCGGGTAGGTGCCCCTCGGCCCGGACCCCAGCGCGGCGCGGCTGCAGGCCCGGGCCGAGGAGGGTATGGGGAGGGTGAAGCGGCGGCTGAAGCGGGGCCGTAACCGGGCCCGTGACCGGGCCCATGACCGGACCCGCCGAGCCCCTCCATCAGCTCCTCCTCCAACACGTCCCTGTCGGCCGCGGGCCCCCTCAGCAGCGTGGTACCTTCGCGCAGGGGGGTGCTGCAGCAGGGCATCCCTCGGATATCGATCCTCTTAAAGGGAGAAGGAAATCGTGTTGCTTTGGTGGATACAAATCAACCACGGTCCGAACTGAGAGGGAAAACATATCAGGGTTCGGATACAACATGCACAGAAGTCCATTTTAAAATAATTCGGGTCAATATACCATCATGTGAGGAACACTATGCTCATTAGTGTTATCATTTAAATAGATTGAAGTATATATTCATTAGATTAGTTTATGTGAGAATTTATCTGTAGATCAACCATCTGTACTTGTCATAAAATTAATGGCTCATATGCTGCACAGTGTTTCATGTTCCCTAAAATATTGGGTATTTCAGTGTGGCTTGATTAGACATTCTGTCACCAAGTCTGGAAGTTAGTTTGATTAATGCCTGTGTAATTAAATGAGGAGAGCTGAACGGTGCGATCCCCACAGACCTCGTTTATGTCCAGTGTCAGTGTCATAACTGTTGATGTGCTGGGCAGTGCACAGCTGAATTTTACACATGGCCACCATCCCACAATTTTGCGGCCAAAACCTCCGAGGTTTCCTTTCATTCCCATGAAATTCCTCTCAGAACATAACAGACATCGCATTTTTTTAGTCCATGCAGCTCAGTTTTCTAGACTGAAAGTGCAACAAGGAAGTATATGCTGACTGAAATCAGCAGAACTATGATCAAAAGAAAATTATATTTTGTCTACAAAACTTCAGGAAATGCCACATGAAAAATAAAATTCACACACAATTAAATAATGGGGGACATACAGAAAACTCAAATTTGAGGCTGCTGTGTACAGCTGTAGTGACAAAAGTACAGTAAAAACATAGGGGTTTTCCTCATGGCTGATATATATTCTGGTAGTGCTTTGGAGCTCCAAATAAGATTAATTCCCCATTTTACTAAGTCCTTTTCATACATTACCACCTCAGCATACTTTAGCCCATGCCAAAATATTCTTTCAATTAAAAAAGGGTATGTTACAACTGTAATTTAAGTGATTTGCTGGCATTCATCCAAAGACAAAGTGCTGCTATTTGCAGAAGTAAACAATGTGAAAAAGTACTTCTCTCTTTGAACATTTTTCAATTAACTGTAGTAATTGTGGAGGTTTCATGGTTCTAGTGGCAGGAAACCCATCAAGAAATAAGACAAGTGGGGTTTTGTGGTGTCCTTCTTAACTGCAAAACTTGTCTCATGCCTCATATTATCTGCCTGGTCAAATGAAAACTTGAATATAAGCAGGATCATTCTTTGATAACTTATCCAAGACACTTCATCTTACGATGGGTTTCAAGATATTTTGACTCTTTCATGAGGAAAGAGAAATTTCTGAGAAACAACAACAAACTAAAGGGGCTGTCAAAATAGGCTCAAAAATATTTAAGTATATTTATTATTGACTTAATGATGATTTAAATAATTTATTTTAATTGCTTGATTTGAAATCGCTCCATCTTTTCATAGCTTCACAACCCATATGCGCATCTTTCAGTCGTGGCCTGACCTTTTCTATTCCAGCTATTTAATTAACACAGTGTAATATTCTGTGTGAATTATTCTTGTTTGCAGGATATGGTATTGGTTAAATTTGTTAATGTAAAGGAGCAGTGTATTGTTGATAAACTGTTGGAAACCAAATTAGCTTTATCTTGCAGCTAGCTGATTGCATTATTTCACTCATGGGTATAATACTCCTCTAAATATGCTAATTTCACTCTTTTCTCCGTGTGGTGACATTTTTACTGTTCTCATTACTGACATTTGTAATATTTGAGGTGGGGAAATTTTTCTTGCTTTAACCTCATTATAATGTAGCTAAAGAGATTTGAATATTATCAGATGAAATAGCACGTATATTCAGGCAAGTAGAAAGGTTATTTTCTCTCCTGGCCCATAACTTTCATGTCTATGCATGACACCTGGATCCAAACTGTGATACAGATGCCCATGCAGGTACTACTTGCCTGAGCACAATAGTGTGTCCATTGGTAGGTGCCTTCATTTCCAACCTACAAGCTCTGAGGTGGCTGTGTGACCGTATTCCTGCCTGTCTGCCTGTGTCTGACCTAAAACATTCAGGAATTCATCTTAGGAGGAGTTGGTTGCCTGGAGCTCTGATAGACTAGTGGTGACAGACAAAAATTACATGGCTGAGGCTGTCCTTGCTTCCAAATGCTCTTGCCATCCCTGAGGCAGGCCTGGTGGATCTGCTTGCAGGTTGGCACCTGCAGTGTGCCAATTTAAGATTGGCTTATTAATATAAACTGAGGCTTTGACGGTTTGTTGCCCCACCTTGGGGCATCTGGAGAGTCTAGTTCAGCTAAAACACATCTGTCATGTAATGTGCTCAGCAGTCCAGGAGAGCATCCCCCCATGGGGCAACCCCCAGTTCCTAGCACATTAGGAAGGGCCATTTGCTCTTTCCTGTCACCATGGTTTTGACAGATTTGCCTCCATGTGACATTCTTTAGAGATTCAGTGAATGTCAGTGTCCCCTTGGTTCTTACACCTCTCTCCCAACAGCTCCTCATGTCATGTATACAATCTTGTCCTTTCTTGTGTCAACTCATACCTTGCAATGTAACAAGCAGCAAGTCATTGCATGCCCCGTAAAGGTTAGAAGCATTTTGGCACAAATGGGCAGAACCAAAATTAATTCAAAGATTGAAAAGTAATATTTTGCAGATTCTGAAAATTCCTTCCAGGATCTAAAAAAAGTTCTCTTTACCAGGGATTTCCCTCAATTTCCAGACTTCAGCTGGAATTATGACAGTGCAATTTCAGAGCTGCCATAAACAACACTGGTGTAGCAGGGATCTGTAATGAGTGAGTTCTTTACACCCCATCTTGAAAAACACCTCTGAAGGTGAGCCTGTGAGGTGTGAGCAAATCCTGTTCTTCCTTCCTTAAGTTTTGGCATTGTTTCTATTCTAGTTGCTCAGGAACAGGTTGGTTGAAATCTGCTCTGGTTTGGGCACCTTCCAATCTGTGTATTCATTCAGCATATTTTCTTGCCTTCCTTTTTCATTGGGAAGTATGTGAACTCCAGCTCTAATGTCATACAATGATTTCCTGGTCCTTCAGGTTTTACAGTGCTTCCTTTTTTCTAGTATCAACAGGAAGCAAAAATACAGACCAGACACATCTTTAGCTTATGAAAGCTGAGCAGTTTTATTCTTAAATTCAAACTTCAGTGTTTTCCAGTGGGGAATTCATTTATACCTTTTGATTGCAGGCTGTGTATATTCCCACTGCAGAGTGACCATTGTAGTGCAGATGATTCCAGGTTTGTGGTGAGCCAGAGCCCATTGTAAGATTCTCTAGGGAGAGCTGGGATTTTCCACCTTTTCTTGTGGAGTCTACCTTTGTGGCTGGCTAATGAAAGACATGTCACTGGATTCTCTGTACACCACACTGCAGGTTTTTTAGTGCAGCTCTCAAAAGGAATATGCAAAAGTCACATCTGACTTGGGCTTTGAGCACATTTAAAGCATTCTGTGCTCCATTTCTGCTTGTCCTGCTATTCATCACCTCCTTAATGATGAACATGTAAGTGATGATTGTATCTTCTTTGAGGGGGAGGTGGAAGCTACATGATGTCTTTCATCAAGGTAATTTTGTTGGCTACCTCCCTACCTCACTTAGCCTTCAGGCTCCATGTCTTAGACATTGTAGGGAGTTTATACTGGAGCTTCAGCTTCAGCAGACTACTGCCCCTGTGTTGTCTCATTTTATTCAGGGCCACCATGTGCAAGTAACCGCAAATGACATCAGCAGAGTATTTTACACCCCAAAGTTATGTTAAGGAAATTCATTTCCAAAGACTGATGGTTCCTGTCTTCCTGAAAACCTGAGAATTATGCAAATGAACTGAGTCACAGGATGTTAGGCTTGAATTGGGAAGTACAGGGTGAAAATCTCCACTGTTTCCTTGTGCTAGGACTGCCTCAGTGCAGCTCTCGTTGTCTCTGGTGCCAGCAAGGAGAGATAGTCATGGTGCTCTGGTACTGGTCTGTCCTTTGTGTCTCTGGTGCATGTGTTTCTCATTTCTTATCAAACTGTGCCATTGTTCTCCCGTTGTCTTACATGGAAGCAGCAAGGGGTAACTTAATTACCTCTCTGCTATAATTAACAATGTAGACATTAGGGAGTTTGTTTGTGTTGGTCTAATCATGTTTAGCTGTCATACCATAGGTATGCTGTGAGCTCTGCAAATGAGTTGTCTGAAGACCTGATTGTCTGGA